CCTTCTTCTCTTGTTCTGAGACGTTTGTAGGCGTATAGCATTGAATGACTGTAAGCTTCCTTCCTTTTTAGTTGAACCTGGCTGTCATTATCCTAGAGGAGATTGGTTCCCACTGAATGAGAGCTTTGGCTGCTGTTGGTGTCATCATGATGGCCAGTCCCTCGATGTGCTCGTGATTGTCCTCTGGGTGGCCGGAATAGATTATTGTCTCCTCAGTTGGGAGTTGGCACCTACCACACCCGTTCCATCTGCTGTCACAGATTCTCAGGACTTCTATCCTGTATCTCTTCATTTCTGCTGCTACCTGGGCAGCCTTTCCAGTTTCATACATCATATGGACATTCCATGTACCCATCCTTATTTTTGCTTTCATCGAAAGAAGGCACATCGGCTGACTGGCTTCCCGAAGGTTTTCACCAGCCTGCGTCATTTCACTTTCCCGATTCCAGCGAAAAATAAAGTTATTGTTTATATTTTTAGACTTTTTAATATATTTATTCGGTGAAGTTTTTGTAGCGATTTGGCTGAGTTTTGCGGGTTGAGTTGCTAGCACCACGCCCCAACCCTCCCTCTTTATCCGGGCTTGGGACCGGCTAGAAAACTAGCGAGCTAGTAATCCAGGCGAGGTTGAACAACACTAAATAATCATAAAATAAACATTTCAGGTTGCTTTTTTTATCAGCTCTAATGGGGTATTTGTAGTGGAGGTGTGAGTAATCCTGCATAATGCAAAATTTCAAGATGATACTAACGGCGTTCACAATCAAGATTGTCAGTTAATATTGCCGAACTAAAAAAAAACAATCACAAAACTAATATTACATGATGGTTGATGAAAGGACAATTTTGTAATACTTCTAGTGATAATATAGCTGGAACCATTAGATACACAGAAGAAGGAATAGAATAAAGTACAAAAACGTAAGCCAATGTTAATAATTTTAAGTAGCTAAGTATGTTCAAGAAGGTTGTTCACTATAGAGTACAAATAAGAGAGAATAAGGGAGAAATTAAAACGGGCCAAAATTATGTTATTAACAACAAAGCAAGTCATAGGTTTCACGCTTAACATTGTCTCTGTCTCACTTAGAACACGGGCTGGCCAAATATGGTATCGTTGAGTTCCTATACTTGGTTGTACGAGCATATATTATTTTATACTGATTCCTGGTTCTACCTAATGAGATACAAGGAGAGAGTTGGGAATAGAGGGGGTGTTGGGGGATCGGAGATATAAAAATATTTCCTAAAATGGATTTATAATTATTTTACTCAAAATCTGTTAAAATCATTATATTTTCAAAAGTTGGTTTATAGGAATTTGATTTGTTTTTTCAAGTTTGTTCAAAGATTGATATCAGTTAGACAACCCTTTGAAAATCAGCACTGGAGCACTGGATAGCCAGCTGTTTTATCAGCCTAGCTTGAGACTTATTGGCAGTACGCATAAGCCACTGGATTTTGAACCCGGAATTTTCCTGTTACAAGGCGAGCAAGTAGACCATTGAGCCAATGGGACTCAACTCCTCAATAGACAGTTCATGAATTCTAACTTCTACCAATTCGTGATTTTAGCGTGACTAGAGGCACCAGTCAATGCGTCATCACTCTTGAGTATTTATCCTCACTCCCGACAGGACGGAATCCACAAGTTACGACTTCTCACTAGAACTAACTCCAAGAAACTTCGTCCCGCAGTTAGTCACTAGCGATCATCGGACTAATTTTCAAGAGTTGTTTTTTGTAGGTGCGTCCTAAACTAGGACGAAACAGCTCTCCAGTGGCTCTCTCCCCATACCAATCCGTAGTCAAACTTAAAAATCACCATGAATATGTACACCGTTTAGGACACAACAAACTTTATTCTTGGTAAAATTAAAGAAGCCTGTAACTTAACGAAAATTAAAAACTCCAAGAAAAATTTCTGTGTGATGTAATTAATGACACAAAAGTCGATGAATTGATCTCTTCCTGTAGGTTCAGGAACATGAAAAGGGATAGACAAACTATTTGAAAAGAGAGAACCTCCAATGTAAAGCCAGTGCTACTATACGGATCAGAGACTTGGCGCGTCATAAAGAGCATCTCAAACAAACTTCAGACCTTCACTAACAGTTGTCTTCACTTAATACTCAAGATCAGATGGCCAGAAAAGATCAGCAACAGAGATCTGTGGCAATGAGTGAACCAACCAGGAACCGATTGTGAAACCTATTGGCAGGAAGAAATGGAGATGGATTGGCCATACTCTGAGGAAACAAATCATGAAGTGACATCACTAGACAAGCCCTCGAGTGGAACCCGAAAGGGAAGCCGGCGGTGAGTTGGTCGTTCAAGGGTGACTTGGAGGAGGTCATGCGAGGAGGAGATGAAAGTATGTGGACAGACCTGGAGCGGGGTGAAAAAGTTGGCAGAAAACAGAAGGCAATGGAAGTGCGCAGCTGAAGCCCTTTGTTCCTCTAGGAACTAAAGGATACAATAATAATAGTACAGTGGATACCTTTAAAATTATGAAGTATGTATTCAACATTTCTGAAAGGAATCCGTCAGAAAATATACAGGAAATTTATGACAGTGAAGACAGTTCCATCGAATTTCAGTATAAATGTTCAACAGACATGTAAGGGGAATTCATGAAATAAAAAACACAAAAAATTTAATCGGAACATGAATAAATTAATTTTTGACTCGACACCAAGCAGTGACTAGTGTAGTTTCTCTGGTCCTTTGATTGGTGCGGACTAAATTCTATCAATCAAGTTTGCAATGTGACCACGATTCCAGCTAGCTCCCAACTACGCTCCATCTTGAATTGTTCACAACTCATGTCGCTTCTCAGATTCGAACCGCGTCACTCGGTGTCGTCTTCAGTCACAGAGAGAGAGACGTTACCAATGAGCTATTCAGGCTAGCAATTGACCTCTTTTAAGACTGTATTGGATAGTTTTGGCTGGACACCAGTAACTACCTAGTCCTCACCAAAGATAGGAGGACTAGACACATTACACTAGTTACTGACTAGTATCCAATCAAAAAAATCGAATACAGTCCTACAGGAGGTCAATCGCTAGCCCAAATAGCTCGGTGATAACACTTTTGACTGGCTGCAGCGCTCACTGAGTGACCACGTTTGCGAGTGCTACATAAAGCTACTAAGATTCGGTAATATAAGGTTATTTCAACATGATGTGGAAACCAGTTTATTAGTACAAAGGCTTCCAAGAGTTAGTATGTAGAAGGTTTGATCTGTTTCAGGTTTGATTGCCGATAGACGTCAGTTAGAGAACCACTGGAAAAACAGGGAGTACTGAATAGCTATTTCACTCTAATTCACAACTCTTTCATAGTACGCACCTACTACCAGGGTTAGAACTCAGGATCTCCGCTAGTGTAAAATTCAGCCCCATGAGGCACGATGCAATCGTTAATCAATTCCAACCGGCGTCAACCAATTTCGTCGGCGAAACAGCTTCCCAGTAATCCCTGGAGGTTTTCAGTGGCTCTCCAACTGATATAAATTTGTGACTAAACTTAAGTTAATCTCAGCAACTGAAGCTGTTGATTTCTTGTCTCCACGGTGTATGACAACTTCAGCTGACGCAATACTATCCAAAGTTGTACACTGTTAGCTTTTGATAACTTAAAACTCGGAATTACATTATGCCTAAACGAATAGAACGACTAAAAATTTCAAGGTACTTGGTGGTAGTCAAGTTTTACTGAAAATGTTCTTGGATCTCGTGGCAAGATACCAAGTTATCTCATCATATTCTTATCTACAAAATGCAAGACAGTCTTTCATCGAGACATGTTGGTTGGGTTCTCTAGACGGTTAGGTGTAAAAATTCAGCCAGCTGTTATAAATGGTAGCTTGATTTTAGTCCCTAATTTGCTAATTTCTCTTCAGAGTATGTCTATAACCGTGAATAGTATAACTTACGACTACTGTGCCAGTTAACTTCACTTCTGTAAGGTTCAGAATTTATGGGTTAATATAAGGTGTATGTGATTCCACCAATCACTATTTTAACAAGGCAGATTTGAAAGAGGTTACTTCATTCGCTTATCTAGTCAGCCATCATTGTCTCAACCACAGGCAGTCAGACAGCATGGATGAAGATGTTCAAGCAAGCCAACGAAAATCGGAAAGGCAAGATACACCTTCATCAATTTGAAACCAGTTTTGAAATCTACACTCACTCAGCTAGCCGGCTAGCCAGTATAAACAACAAGATTCGAATTCTATTTAGCACAAATACCAAGCTAGTCAGACAGTTCTGTTGTATGGGTGAGAAACTTGGTCAACGTTTGAGTCATGAAAATCATTTCCAACAGGCCAGTGCAGAATTCTGTCAAGAGCTGCCGTCTTCACTGGTTCCATATTGAAAATGAGATGGTTACTAGTGTCCAGTTGCTAGCCTAAATAGCTCAATGATAGCGTCTCTGATTGGCTGCAGCATACACTGTGGGTGATGCGGCTTTGAATCTCAGAAGGAACATGAGTTCCTTCAGGGCGGTTGCAGATACGCTTTGTTGTCTAGTGCTTCCTGCCGATTGCCTGCAACCATCTAATGCTACTATGAATCTATTGTTCAAGAAATGTGTGAGAGAAAATAGAGATGGATTGGGCACACTTCACTTAACAAGCCGTCGAATGACATCACGCTCTAAGCAGACCATCCCTCAAGTACAGTCTGAGCGGGAAGCTAGCGATGAGCGCATTTTGAGTGCGAGGGTGACATGGAGTAGACAGTGTGTTGGGGAGGATGATAAGATGAGAGATTATTGGCAGTCGTGACCCCGGCCATCTGAAGAGGAGGTTAGAAAATAGAACAAAGTGTAGAAGTATTGTTGAAGCCGTGTGCTCCACTCGGAACCCAAGGTAATAATATTATTCATACTGTGTGATTCTAACTCATAAGTCATTGTGCTTTTCTTACAAACTTTAGTATACTTCTCAACTGTGTATTAATTATTACCATAAATTTTCATCAATTTAGGTTAACTTTAGTAAAAATCGTCTAGTCAGTATAATACCATTTGATTGGAATCGTGTAACTTTATGTCCAGTACGCGGAGTAGACGGATCTGATTATATAAACGCCAGTTTGATTGATGGTTATCTAAAGAAAAATGCTTACATCGCTTGTCAAGGACCAATGGTGTCAACTGTAGAAGATTTTTGGCGTATGTTATGGGAGAAAAATAGTTGCTTAATTGTCATGTTATGCTCAGTTAAGGAAAGTGGAAAAGTGAGTGATGGTTTTATTTATTTATTTATTTTTTTGGTAAAAAAAATTTTCCTTGATGAAGTTGGTACTTTTTTAAAAGTTTTAGTTAGAGAACCATTGCAAAACCATCACTGGAGTAATGGATAGCCAGATGGGCTCGTCACCCTAGTTCAGGACTCTTTATCAGCACGTTATCCAGCGATAGGGTTCAAACCCAGAACCTTCCAGCTACAAGGCGAGTTAGTTCGTAGACCCTTGAGCCACTAGAACCCGTCAATCCAATGGCCAGTTTATGAGTTTCAAATTTCGCAATTTAAAAGATATGAGTGATAAGTTTTTTTAATTATTGGAAGGCTGATGTGTTTCCGATCTCTGTGTAAATATATTTGCATCATTAAAAAAAAAAGAATGTTTACTGAACAAAGAATATTCTTTTCGATAACCTCTTCTTCATCAGGTTTTACAGTTATATATGCATCCATAATAGTGAATTAATTAGTGTTATTAACAACATTACTGTTCAAATTGCATCGAATCAGTAATATCAATCGATTTCAATTCACTAGCATCAGCATAACAACAAATTGGATGTCAGAAACATTAGGAAAGATAATAATACAAATTCATGAATTTAAGGTATCCAATTCAGGCCGGCCAGGGCAATAGTAATAGCTAGACTTTATCTTATGCACACAAAGCACTGGTTGTTTCACGTGAATCACGATAGCCTCTGCTGTTTGAAGTATGCAGTACCTCGATGTTTTTGGCAATTTGTTTGGTACCCGGTAGATGATGATAGAGAAGGATTCGTCAACGCTGGCTGGTTTTGTGGCCAGTTTGCACCAGGTGGTCCAGTACCGAACTGTTAATGGTGTGAGCTTAAACAACCGATGTTCTGTGTGCAGAAGAAACAAGTCAAGTCAGCCACTACTACTGCCCTGGCCGGCCTGCATTGGAGACTGTAAATCGATGAATTTGTATTATTATCTTTTCTAATTTGTCTGTCTGATATTCAGTGTATTGTTGTGTGTTGTGTGATATTATTAATGGTTGATTCAATGCTATTTGAACAACTCCGCACATGGTCTAGGGTTCGATCCCTGGCCGACACACATCTGCTGAATTTTGGCTACCGATATCACATGCTGAAAATTCCATACCTGTACCAAATAACTGTATGGAATCAAGCTATAATAATAATAATAGCCCACAAATAGCACTAATTTATTCACTATTATAGATGTATATAAGTGTAGAAGCTAATGAAGAAGAGGTTATCGAAAAGAATATTCTTTCTTTTCAGTAACCATTCTTTTGATTGAAAATTTCCATTAAACTTTTTAGTACCTCACAGATGCCGATATATGGATGATACCTGCATTCTTTGTGATAATGATTCGGATAGAAATACAATAATTACTGAATAATTCAATGAAGTACATTCTGCTATGAAATTCAGGTGTGAAGAGAAATCCCAAAACAGGATGTCCTGCTTACAAGAAAACGAGATGCTAGTATAAAGAGGAATTTGCATAGTAAAAGTACATGGACAGGACAATATACACATGTTCATAGCTTCGTTCCTGTCTAGTACAAAAGAAATTTATTTAGGATCCTCAGTGACACAGTAAGAGCTATGTGCTAAGAGGAGGTGACTGAAGATGAACTAAGGATTGTATATAATACTTCCATTGACTCGAAATAATTATCCCGACAAATTTATGAAGAAACACACGACGAAGAAAGTTGAAAAGGACTACTCACCACCCGTAAACATGAAGCCTTTATACATACGACTGCAATTCAAGTTGATATACCTAGCAAAATAATTACGAAGAAGTTAAAAGAACACAGGAGTCAGACAAGGGTACTTATTATCACCAATAATATTCCTAATTGTGGTGGACTGGATTATGAGGAAGACAGTGGGAAAAGAGCCGACAGGGATATCCTGGACCGACGTGAAGAACCTAGAAGACCTGGATTTCGTGCGTGGATGATTTATGTTTGATGTCACAAAAAATCGAAGACTTACAAGCGAAGATCGAGAAACTGGTCGAAGAAGCAGCAAGGAAAGGACCCCAGGTGAACATAGACAAGACGGAGGTTATGAAAATAACCAACCAAGAACAACAACAACAACAAGAACATCTAGCGCCAATCACCATCAATGGGTGGGATTTGAAAGAGGGAGAATTCTCTCAACGACAGGCAGTCAAAACGGACGAGGATGTCAAATCGAGTGAGAATCGGGAAGGCGAGAAACACATTCACTCATCAACCTGAAACCAATCTGGAAATCTTCGTCACTCAACTCAGCATCAACGACAAAATCGAGTCGGATTTTCAATACAAGCACGTCAAGTCAGTCAGTTCTTCTATACGGATGAGAAACTTGGCGGGTGGGTCACAAAGAATATTTCCAACAGCCTGTTGCCGACCTTTATCAACCAACAACTGTCTTCACTGGCTCTATACTGAAGATCAGATGGCTGGCCGGGCCGGAAAGAATCACCAACAAGAAACTATGGCTGGGAACAAGAACCAGTCGCCAACCAACAAATATACAGGAGAAAGTGGAGATGGATTGAACACTCGTGGCTGAGGAGGCCACTGAGTGATATCGCGCGCCAGGCCATTGCTCGAGTGGAACCCGACAGAATAGGAAGCGGTGAGTGGGACGTCGGTGCTAGGGTGACATGGAGGAGATCGTGTGAAGAGTAGCTGAAACAGTATGGACTAACATGGATTCAGGTGAAAAGTACAACTGAAGGAAGACAGAAGCAAGTGGAGACGTGCAGTTGAAGCCCTATTTTCCACTAGGAACCCAAGGGAACAATAATAATAATAAGGGGATCAGTTCAAAGAAGTTTTAATGCTAGTAAATTACAAGTCTTATTTTCTACATGACGAATGGTCAGTCTGCAATTGAAAGATAAAGTACGTAGACTAACTGGTCACTTCTACTTGTACATACCAACTGAACTGAGCTTGTGGCGGAGTGAGTGATATTGACCGTTGCTCTGGGAACTCGATTTTCCGTGCTCTCTCGGGAAAATCTCTCAGTATGGCTAAGTAAAGAAGCATCAGTAACTCAATATTAGACCACCATGTCTAAAGCGACTGGCCACAGAGCAGGCTAATATTGAACAGTCCTACTTCATCAATCATTTGCCAGACACCGAAATCCTAAATTTCATCCCTTTTTTTCTCTTTCTCTCTTTCTTTTGCTTGTCTCAAGGAGAAATGTTTCACTTATTGGCCAGAGGATAAATTAGCCCGTTATCAATTCTTTGTAGTAGATTTAACCGCCCAGTATACAATGTCTAGTCATATATTAAGAGAATTCAAGGTTACTGATGCAAGGGATGGAGAATCACGTATCATAAGACAACTGCAGTATATTCAATGGAATGAACAAGGTTTACCACAGACAAGTGAGAGTATAATTGATTTAATCGGACATATGCATAAAATTAAAGAGCAACAAAATTATGATGGGCCGATCACTGTTCATTGCAGGTAATACGTTGAAAATTCTATAAATGTTTTGATTTTATACATCCAATGAATGGACATATATATATTTATATATATACATTTATAAAACACAAAATAATTGAGCAAAGAATGTCTTTTGAGATAAATTCCTCCCCCGGGCTCTACAATCATATATACATATATGTTTATATACACAGAATATTCTAGAATAGTAGTCAATAACAATACTGGTGTGCTTTTTAAATAATATCGATTTGTTAAGTAAGATCACAATGGAATTACAGTTCACTAAAGATGCTTAAATTATAATAATAATAAAGATATAGTAGCAAATAAAATATCAACTTAAATTAAGAAAATTCCACAAAATTCAGGATCATTTAAACCTACACGACCAAGGTAAGGATAATGTCTGAAATAACTTCTTTTGGACGATGAAATGGAGATGGATTGACCATGCTCTGAGGAAACCATCAAGTGAATGACATCACTAGACAAGCCTTCGAGTGGAACCCAAAAAGGAAGCGGCAAGTTGGTCGTCAGTGTGAGGGTGACTTAGAGAAGAGAAAGCATGTAGGCAGACCTGAAGCCAGGTTAAAACTTTAGCAGAGAACCGAATGCAATGGCGACGTGCTGCTAAAGCCCTATGTTCCTCTAGGACTTAAAGGAAACAATAATAATAATAGTACAATCGCATCTAACCTCTGTATATCCAGTACAGTTGAATGCCTAATACTTTCGTCCTATTTTGTAGTTACAATTTAAGTATCGAAAAGGTTTATATGCTAGATATATATATATATATATATATATATATATGACATCATGAAATCAACAAGTTATAATAACCAAGATATCGAAATTATTCCACTTTCAATAAACAGAGCACTTTTTAACAGTGGCAATAAATTCATAATTCAAAACATTAAAACGATCATTTCTTCGGCTTTCAGTAGTAGAAGACATTTCAGGATTAATTCATGGATTAAGGTGTCTAGCACAAATGTACAACTTAGTAAAATTTACAAATACACGCTATTACTATTGTTATTATTAATACTCCCTTGGTTTCAGAGTGGAACATCAGACGTCAGTAGGACACCTCCGTCGCATCTTGTTCTTTACAGACCTTTTCAGCTGGTTTCATCATTACCAATAAGCCTTCATCTCCGTTATGTCTAATCCATTTCAGTTTCTTTGTGTATATTTTTGTAGAAACATTGGTCTTTGGTTGGTTTGTCCCCTGAGTTACATGTTTTCAATTCTTCCTTCCTGGTCATCTCACCTTCAGTATCAAGGGAAGTTAGCTGTTGATGAAAGTATGCGGCAGCTTGTGTGAATATGTTCCCCATGTCTCTAAACTATTAAGAAGTAATTATGTTAGATAGTTGGAGGCTGTTGGCCACGGAATGGCTTGGACACCACCTAGGTTTCGTGCTAGTTGGTACTTATCAGTCAGTCAGCAAGGCGTATCTACAAACGCCTTGAAGGAACTCATATCCATTCCCTTCTGGGATTCGAACCCGCGTCACCCAGTGTCGCCTACAGTCAGAGAGAGTGGTTATCAGTGAGTTATTCAGGTGACGCGGATCCGAATCTCAGAAGGGACATGAATTCATTCAAGGGAGTTACAGATACGCCCTGCTGACTGACTGGTGAGTGCCAGCCAACTAGCATGAAACCTAAGTGGTGTCCAAGGGTTCCTGGCGGTTGCCTCCAACCGTCTAATATCAACTATTCAAGGTGCAACATAGTTGAGAGCTTCCTAGAATATTGGCCATATTGCAAACCTGACTGTTCAAATTCAGTCTGTACCAAAAACAAAGAACTAAACACATCACCCTAGTTACTAGTGTCCAATGAAAGAAGAAATTATGTCACAAATCTTTTTCCTCATGCTGAGTGCAGCACACTTGCAAACTAGATTCATCTTAGGATTTCGTCATGAACTGACATCAGTTAGAGAACCACTGGAAAACCATTACTCAACTACTGGATAACCAGCTATTTCGTCAGCCTAGTTGTGGAATCTTCGTAGCCACGCACCTGACCCGCTGACAGGGTTCGAACCTAGGGCCACCTTCCATTTACAAAGCGAATTAGATCGTAGACCATTAAGCTAACCAGCGGAACTCAGCCTAACGGCTAGCTCATGAATCCCAACTTCTGCCAATCCACCCACGATATGGTGCGACTGGCACTAGCCAATGTCATCGTTAGCGAGTATATGTCCCCACACCCGACCTGAGCTATAGATTCATTTCAAATGATTTATTTCTCTTGAAATGCAACTACAGATCATGACAGCTGTGAGGATGAAAATATTCAGAAATGTATATAATTAAACTTATGTATGTACGCATATATTTATATATATGTACCGCCGGCAACTCTTCCAGGAATACCACACGGAAATGCCAGTGCAAACCACTCCTCCAACGAAATAAGAAATCTTGAATGCGATCAAGCTAGTTAATTCCGAGAAGGCAGTAGGACCATGTAGCATTCCTCCCGAAGCACTGAATACGGCCATAGAGATTATGGCAGATGTTCTTATTCCATTACTGCAAAAAGTTTGGAAAGAAGGAAAGGTGCCTACTGATTACAAGAAGAGATACCTCATCAGACTGCCAAAGAACGGCGACTTAGGCCTGTGCAAGAATCAGCTTGAAATAATTCTCTTATCCGCGTCAAGTAAAACACTAAGTCGCATCATCCCGAAGAGAATAAAGGATGCACTGGTTACAGATCTCCGTCAGCCAGGAACAAGCTGGATTCAAAAAAGGCAAGTCATGTGTTGCTCAAATTGCTACTCTAAGCATCGTTATAGAACAAAGAATAGAATGGTAGTGGAATCTCACTGTCTACCTCAAATTTAATCGACTTCGGAAAGGCCTTCCACAGACAGCATTGACAGAGAAGTAATTTGGGAACAACTTCAACACTACGGCATACCTCACGTTTTTGTCAACCTCATTCAACAGTTATACGACAGTGCCACGTGTCCAATGATCCACAGTGGAAAATTCAGCGAAGCCTGCCTTTGGAGTGCATAAAGGAGTAAGACAAGGCTGACTGGCTGCCTATTACCACCGATGATATTCTTAATTGTGGCGGGCTGGATTATGCAGGAGACTGTTGCAAGCGAGGAGTCAGGAATACGCTGGACAACCGATAAGAACACTCCAGAAGATCTGGATTGTCGTGGATGATATATATGTCTAATTTCGCACAAACGCAAAGACTTGCATACGAAAACCAAAAATCTGGTTGTAGAAGCAGCGAAAACAGAACTCCAGGTGAACACAGAGTAGACGGAGGTGATGAAAACAACCAATCAACAGCAACAGCAACCAGCGTCAATCACCATCTACGGGAGAGATTTGACTGAGGTTGCCTCCTTCACTTATCTAGAAAACCAGCATCATCTGAACTACAGGAGGAATGGATAAAGATGTCGAAGCCAGCCTGAATCGCAAAAAGGCAAGATATTCCTTCATCAACCTGAAACCAGTTTGGAAATCTCCTCGCTCAGTAGCATTTTCAACCCGAATATGAAGTTGGTTCTTCTATAAGGGTCAGAAACTTGCACTGTGTTTGAGTCATGAAAAGCATTTCTTACACCTGCCACCTTCACTGGCTGCAGATTGAAGATCAGATGGCCAGAACAAATAAGCAACAAAAAACTATGGGAAGAAATCAACCTAGAGCTGATCGTTCAAAAAATATATAAGAGAAAGTGGAGATGGATCAGGCATACATTGAGGAGAACATCGAATGACATCGCACACCAGGCAATGCCTCAAGTGGAATCCAGATGGAAAGCGACGAGTGGGTCGTCAGTGCGACGGTGACATGAAGGAGATCATGTGAGGAAGAGATGACAGAGTTTGATCAATCGTGCACCCAGCTGAAAGGAATGATAGAAAACAGAACAAAGTGGAGATGTGTGTTGTTGAAGTTCTCTATATATTCCACTCGGAACGCATGGGAATAATAATAAATATAACTTTTACTGATTTTATCATGCATTCATCCTCTTTTTATTTTGTTTCTTTTTTGTCATTTTAAAGCTCTGGTGCTGGTCGAACAGGATTATTTATAACAATGTGTAATGTGTTAGAAAGACTACGTCAAGAATCAGTTATTGATATGTATCAAACAGTGAAATTACTTCGACAACAACGTGTATGGATGGTACAAACAGAAGAACAATATCGTTTCTGTTATACAGCTACACTGGACTATCTGAATTCATTCGACCTGTGCACTCAACCACAATTACAACTACCAATACCAATAACAATACAAGCGCATAATTTACACAGAAATTCACCAAATTTAAAAATAAAGCTAAAATCTACCCAATTATCATCTGATAAAAGTGTTTTATTTGAATTTGATAAAAATTATGAAATAGGCAATAATAATAGCAATAATAATTTAATAATTCAGTAGGAGAATTAAAACATTGACAATTGATCATTGAACACATTTTATGAAAGCCAGTGAATATAGGTATATACATATAAATATATGTACTACTCATTATGTATGAGTAGTACTAAAGTAATTTGTTTTCATGTTACCAATTGCTGTTCATTTTTTCTGTCTCCACCTACTTCCTACTTTCTTGTGAATAAAATCTAAAATTTATTTGTAAAACACATGTTTTTGTCTGAGACATAGGGATTTATAATTAATAATGTTCTCTGAGCTGGTTAGTTGGTTTAGTTGTGGAGCTTTCGTTGTCTTTCGGGATAAAATCTTCAGCGCACTATTTAGCACAAAGTGAAATGATTTAAATTTTCTTCATGAGCGATATAATTGCGTCTCCCGGTAACCGTCTTTACATATGTATTGACCATTTCTGTTATTGACTTGAATTTTAAACTTTTTGGCCACCTGATTTATTTTTTATCAGTTGGTATATTTTGTCTATATTAATGTGTTTGTTAATTGCATATTCGTTTGAGTACCAGGTTTCTAGGAATTCCCTGGCACTGCACTTTTCGTGTTTCCTCTATCTAAGATTTCCTCATTATCCCAAACAAATTGATGTCCATAATTGTCTAAATGCATTGATATTAAAGAACACATATCTTGTCTTTTCACGGCTGATTTGTGTTCCTGGATTCTAGTTCGAAGGGGACACCCACTTTGGCCGATGTAATGCCTGTTACAGTTCATACATACAATTTATTTTGTAAATGGTATTAATTTTATCTCCTTTTTCTGTTGGTTCATTATTTCAGCTGTTATTTCAGAGATATTTTTCATGTATGGTAGGATGAATTTTGTGGTCTTTGATGATGGTTTCTTGTTGGTGTTTTGATTCGATTTTAAACACTTTTTGATGAAATTTTGTGGAGGATATCCATTCTTTTTGAAGACCGTTTGTAAGTATTTTTCTTCCATTCTTATCAACTCTGGAGTGCTATATTGTGTGTATTTGAATTCTTTTAAACAATGTCTGCATGCAGTTTCTTTTGTGAGTGAGTAATTGGATTATTGGTAGTATAGTTGAGTATTTGATCTGTGTGTGTGCGTTGATTTTCTATATACTCGTGTTTCTAAATTTCTTATGTTGGGTCTCCTGATTAGGATTTAGGCATGAAGCCTTGACGATTTAGTGATCGTGGAGTTGTTTTTTACTGTTTTACTGTCTGTCTGTCTGTCTGTTTTCGACATAGAACTCTGCACCGATTTGCAGCAGTTCAAATGGCCACACCCTCTCTATGTAGCACACAAACCAAGAGAAGAAGGTAGAAGAAATGCATAATAGAGACAGTAAACAGAGGTGTGAGACAAATGAAAACTAATAACTAAGAACAATATAGTCTCATTAGAAATCATAAGTCACAAGGAGTGGATACATCTGCGCTGTCACTTAGAACGATTTTGAGCCATATCACCAATTGTCTCCAGCGATTGGTTTTTACCGTCCTGAAGACCCCAACCTGGAAGGCAGTCTACACCTTCTAACGTAGCTGGTTTAAACTAAAAGTTGTGGATTTCACTGACTGATGAAGTCATGTTTTGGTCTGACCGCCGCTAACCCTTTTCCAACCTCACCCTATATCAGCTAACATTGCCTATCGAGGGGAAATCAATCGACGAGGCTGTGAAGCTACATCGATTCAGTGTTACGCATGTAATCCTTGCATTCTTCTCAGTACTCAACGGAGTAAAAAGAGGATATCATCTGTCTATTACAGATATTTCATTTTGACGGTTTCGTAAACACAACAGTTCCTAAAGTTATTTGTCTACCTCTCAATAATAATAATAATGTAATAATTAATAATAATTTACTTTATTCCATAATAATACATAATACAGCATTTGTCACAACACCTTCCATCTGATTTACTCAAAATATAAATAAAATTAAAAATTAAAACAAAAGTAACCAGAGGAATTTGTCCATATTTACGATATAAAGTCAAAAATATTCGAAGCACGAATTGAGATTATCAAATATAACAATAATAATAATAACAGTGAGTTTGTTTCAAACAGTATTGGCGATTCAGTTTGGAAACTTTGGCATGTTATAGACTATTGGATCTAATGTTCTGTTGATATAGTATAGCGAAGGGAAACACAAGATTAACAGTGGTAACACAGCTTAAATTATGTTCACACTTATGAAAAAACATAAACAAAACCAAAAAATTGAGAGGATTGTAAATATAAGAAACACAATAACAATAAAGTTTGATGATGTGAGGGTGGAGGAAATGGTTTATTTAGTGGTGCAAAGAAGGTTAGTTAGTTAGTTCATGTCTGACACCATTTTCATCACATAAAGTACGTGCCAGATATGGTATCGTGGAATTTTTATTCTTAGACGTATTTGCACAAAGTCTTCTGAAAAGACTTCTTGTTTTACCTGAGGAGGAGACACAAAGTTGGAGCTGCGGGTAGAGTGGGTGCTCACAGTCTGACAAGATTCCTTTAGCGAATTTGTTGCATGATATCAAGTGCCTATCATCACTGACGATGTCAACGATATGGTGCAATGGGATGCAACTCGTCCTACTGGCAGTCCTCAGAGTTTTGCGAAGCATGATATAGTCTTTTTTAAGCAGTCCAGGAAAGAATAAGGGTGATTAGCAAAAAAAGAGAGTTAACAAAGTGTAAGAGGAGTGGTTGGGTTATGCCTGAGTGCCTCAACTTCCTAATGTAAAAAGTCAGACGAAATGTTCTTTTAGAAATCGCTAAGACATGAGAAGACCAGGATAGGTCAGATAAAAGAATTAATCTAGGATACTTAACTTCAGCCTTGGTTTCTATATCAATATCATCAATTTTGCAAAAGTTACAGGGACCAGCAGCTTCATTTAACTTTGTTTTACATCGGAAACTGAAATTGACAATCTGACATTTGGAAGGATTTAGTTTTAGGCCGTTAGACGAAGACCATTTGCTACTTCCTGATAGAAAGCTGTTCATCTTAGTACAGTCAAGCTGAGAGTTAACAGACACTGAAATAGTTAGATCATCGGCACACTTAATAAAGTTCATTTCATCATCAGATTAAGGCAATTTATGCAAGAATAAAGAAAACAGAAAAGAAGAAAGGACAGCGTCTTGAAGGACACCAGCCTCAGTAAGCAACGAAGTGGATGATGTTTCCTGACATTCAGTGTACTACTTTCTTCCTGAGAAATAAGAATCCAGCCATTTGACAACCCAAGAGTCAGTTTGAGTTTCAGCAAACTTGTTTAACAAAATGTCCCTAGGTAATGAGTCGAAAGCAGATGTGTAACCTAGGAAGGTGCAGCGAATGAATTCAGCCCCCTTGTCTAAGCTGAAGACAATGTCATGGTACAAGACTGCAACTGCATCTAAAGTACCTTTACGGTGTTTATAAGCGAATTGTTTAGGGTCGTTGAAGGCTTTAAGTGAAGGTTGAGGATTAATTAAGAGTAAGTTTTTTATAGCTTTTAGAAAAGGGGAGGTAATAGCAATAGGTCTGAATTTAAGACATGTCCCAGTAGTAAGTGGACAATTAACTAACAAAAATCTGAACTGTAAGACTAAGGTTCAACAATTAATTTGGATGGAACTACCTCACCAGTTTATTCATTCACATAATATATATATATGTAAGACAATAATGAAAGATGGACTCAGCTTAAAAGTCATATCAAATGTTATTTATCAAATAAAGTCAACTAATATTACGCTGACGGTGATAAGAAAACCTCTTGACTAACTGAAAAATAATAAGACTCAATAGAAGATTTTCACGTGGTGGTTTGCAGGGATTTTATTGCTTACAGGATTTTAATCATGAGCTAATATCGGTTAGAGAACCGCTGTCAAACCACCACTTGAGTATTGGATAGCCAGTTGTGTTATCAGCTGAGTTCTGGACTCTTCAGTGATCTGCAGTTTTCCAATAGTTCTCTAACCGATAACACCTCATGATGAAATCATGTTACGGATCAAATCAAATCCCCGTAAACCGACACTTAAATATCAAGCTGAGGCTCACCAGTGGTCACTCACGTGGGATCCGGTGCGAAATCATGACCAGTGCGAGGTGCAGACGATCGGCTGTGAGGATAAATTCTCGCCATCAATGACATTCGCTATTGCCAGTCGCGCAATATATCGTGAATTGGCAGAAGGTGGAATTCCTTGTCTACAAGCTCGCTGTCCTTGTAGTCAGAAGGTGTGGAATTCCAACCCAGTCAGTGGATTAGGTGCGTGCCGTTGAGCAGTTCAAAACTAGGCTGTCGAAACAGCTTGCTGTCCAGTAATGGATTGATGGTTTTCCAATGATTCTTCAACCGATGCTACCTCATGGTAACGTCACGAAACTGAAGAATCTCAAACAAATATTGGCAAACAAGTGAAACACAATAATTCTTCCTCTGAGTATGGCTAAATATTATATATATAATATAATGAGATACTTAAACCTCTCTGTTGAATATCCCTCAGTGCCATACCATATATCGGCACAAAAGTCAACGTGTACAGATGATAACACGTGTCAATCCGACTGAGTCAACAAATTTTTAAAATTTTCCTTAATTCCTTTACGTCCCCAGCGGTGGGACACGTAAGGCTTCAAGCTGGAGAGGCTAAAAGCTTCGGTAACAGTGGTATTCATTTTTTACGATATGGGGTTGCTAGCCGCATGTCTAGCCAATCTTTTCTCTTTACCAGTCCCACGTTTTGGCTTAGCGAGGTAAAAGAAAGCGTTCACTGGCCGGGAATCGAAGCCCGAACCATCTGTGGCGTGATTAGCGAGCATTTTATAATGCGCAGGCTAAAATAGATGAAGAACAATTCTTGGAAGAACATAGTAATCATAAGAAAAAGGCACAAACAGCGAAAAAAGTTTTCTTTTCGACGATTCATTTTCATGAGCTGCTATACAATAATCGTAATTATATTAAAAACAAAGAAATCTTTAGATCAGTCAGATACTGGTTAACTTTGTCTTCAAAAAGTGTATTACATAATGTAACGTGTAAAAAGGGATAACTAATTGTAAGTTAGAAAAGAGGTGGAAGTTGGCATGACGTACAAAGTGTGTTATAATGACTAATCAGTAAGCTTGTTTTAGAATGCACAGGAACTAGTAGAAAGGCGGTAGAGTGTTTTTATATAAAATCTGTGTGGAAAAGCAGTGTTATTAATAAACAGTAATACAGTGGTAATAAAATATGGATGATGGGAATAATAATGATAATAACAATAATAACTTACATGGTAAAAATAAGGAAGAGGCAAAATTATAGTAAGAACTTTACTCTGGCCACGGTAGGGCAAGAGAATGTAAGTATCGCTTTTTAATGCAGAGGTCCGGTTTCAGATCTCGAATAGCTAATGCTTCAGCTATGTACAGATGGCGTATGCGAAGTCCCTTTGTACGATATTAAGGGACTCTGTGTAGCACTGTGAAGCATTCCTGTGTGGGTGCTCGATGTCTGGAGATTACAAGGGTGTTCAAGGATACAGCTGCTGCCACTATTCTTCTTTTCTCCTGTGGCTATCCAGCCAAGTTGGACAGGGCTCCAGAATACGTTTGTGGACTTGACGTTGCGTACGGCCGATATACTTTTCTCCATAAGAGTAAGTAAATTGATAAATACACATTGAAGTGTACAAAAGCGATATGTTCTCCTTAACGTTAGACTGGATTAACTGTCTGCTGGAGAATGCGATGCATAAGGTGGCTGTTGAAAATGTCTTCTTCAGACATCTAGAAAGACGGTTTCTGAAAATTTCAGCTGCGATGTCATCTGTGAATTACAGGTTCATGGAAAGAGTTTTCTTAGGAAGAGTTGCGATGTTTGGCGAAGGAGGTTTTTCTCTGTTATGTTTATTTTTGATGAATCTTGGTGGATACACGCTTTTGGATCAGTGGGACGAAGCTCTGGAAGCTGGTAAACCGTCCCATCCATGTTGGCTTGTGATGTATCGATCTTTCGATCATCCAGTCGTGTCTTCTGATAATTAGTACACCGAGGAATGGAATTGCGTTATTCAATTCACGTTCTAAGGGTGCTCTAGTAATCGTCAACTTAGAACTAGAAGGAATGAAGCATTCAGAAAAAAATCAATAACGAAAGTCAATTTTTTCACACAGTATATCGATGCTCAGCCAGGTACAGCCACAAGTACAAAACACTCCAGGATCCATAGACAATCTGTAGAAAACAGGAGGCCATTACTTAACTAACTGAAAGTGATCAACTTCTTTATGAAATAAGTGTGTTGATGACGTTGTACTATCCCAGCCCCCTAGAAAAAAAGTGAAAAGCATTTGATGAATGATTGAGTGAAGAATATCAAAGCTTAACAAACAT